CATGCCCTTAATCCTAACTCATATGGAATATTGTCATTTCAAGGTCAAGTTGATCCAAATAGTAAGTTTTGGGACAGCCAGGGCTACACAGAGAAACGCTGTCTCAAAAAAAAATTATATTAACCCTACACAATCTGATTCCTGTACTCCTAAAGCGCTAACTAACTCTCCAAACAGGGACTAAGACAAGAAACAAATAAAGGTATATACACATGATTAAATTATAAACATCATAAAGGAAAACAGAGGATCCTAAGACATTATTGGGGAGTTAGTTTAGGTAAAGAAATTATGAAAAGTTCTTTGGAAAAGTGGGTTCAGTATGCATTGGTGCAGGAAACTGCGATTAAACTTAGTGGCTCACACAAAATAAAGGAAGCCATCAATGTGCGAGGGGCTGCTGTAAAGAAGGACTAAAAAAAGAGGGAAGAACTGAGAAGGTAAGAAGGGCAAAAATGATCAAAATTTAGTATAGATATGTTATAAAATTGTAATAAAAATCAAAAAAATTAGAGTCCACGTGAGCTGAGACCGCTGGCAGGTGAAAGCAAGAGGAAAGGCATTTCCAACAGGAGGGGCAGCGTGACTGAGGTGTGCTCAGGAAAAGAGATGGGCAAAGTAAAAGTGCAAAGAGTAAGACAGTGCACCAGGGGTGTAGACAGGAAGACAGTGCACCAGGGGTGTAGACAGCAGTAGGCTGGGGTCAGAGGATTACATGTTCATAACCTCCCTAGGCTACAGAGAAGTTTCAAGTCAGCCTGAGAAACTGGGCTAGTTCCTGTCTCAAAATAAAAAGTAAAAATGAGCTGGGGTAGATGGAGCCCAGCAAGGTCCTAGGTTCAGTCCCAGTAGAGAGAGGAGAAAGGGCAGAGAGAAAGAGCAGCTCAGAAGGAAGCAGAGCTGGCAAGATGGTTGGTGGAGAAAGACACTAAGTGCAGTGGCCTGGTGACCAACTCAGTCCCAGAATACACGTAAGGGTGAAGGGAGACCTGATGTGATACAATTGTTCTCTGGACTGCATGTGTGCAGCATGGCACAAATCATCATACACACACACACACATACACACACATGCACACACATACACATCCACCCACACGTACACACATACACACATATACACACACATACACATCCACCCACACGTACACACATACACACATACACACACATACACACATATACCCACACACACATACACACATACACATACACACATATACACACATACACATCCACCCACACGTACACACATACACACACACACACACATACACACACACACACACACACACACACACACACACACACACACACACACATATGCACACATACACATCCACCCACAACTCAGTCCCAGAATACACGTAAGGGTGAAGGGAGACCTGATGTGATACAATTGTTCTCTGGACTGCATGTGTGCAGCATGGCACAAATCATCNGTGAAGGGAGACCTGATGTGATACAATTGTTCTCTGGACTGCATGTGTGCAGCATGGCACAAATCATCATACACACACACACACATACACACACATACACACACATACACATCCACCCACACGTACACACATACACACACATACACACATACACACACATACACACATACACACATATACCCACACACACATACACACATATGCACACATACACATCCACCCACATGTACACACATACACACATACACACACATACACACATACACACATACACACACATACACACATACACCCACACACATACACACACATGCCACAAACACACGTGCACTTATATAATAAAATACAAATATCTTATGAAAACAAAGAGGCAACTCACGAGAAGCAGAAACCACAGGCAGGGTAACTCTTCAAGGAAACAGAAAGGAATTACACTGCACCTATGAAATAATCATGGGTTGCTGTTATTGATAAGCAGCAAAGAATCAGACAGAGCTCGCCGAAACCAAACCCGAACTGGTTCCCAGAGTAACATTCAGGGAAGGGTGAGAAACTCAAGTAGAGGAAATCTTCGGGAAACAAATAAACAGATGATGATGAAAAGAAAACAGCAGCAATGATCTGTCTCCGTGCGCTGTTGTTCATCTGGCCAGGCTTCCAGGAGGAATTCTGTAAGGAATCAGACTAAATGGAAAACAATTAGACAAGACACAGGTGCAAAGCCGTGTGAACGAAACGTAGTGGCAATGAAACAGGCACAATGTTACAATGGTATCAGGAGAAGCTGAAATACTCGAAAGTAGGAAATACTCGAAAGTAGGCGATTTCTACTCCAAATGGTTAAATGAGGAATTGAATAGCACAGCAGACAACTGGAATTGCCTCCCCCACCCTGCAGAGGCGTTTCCAACATTTGCTGTGGCGACTGCCATGTGTTGTAGGGTACCAGCAGTTTCCTGACCTCCGATCCCAGTGGCCAATAACACCACCATCATGATAATAATGTCTCTAGAGTGTGCCAGATGTCATCTGGGGGGCACAAAATTGTCTGCTGAGAAGCCCTGGTTTAGGAGTTTGGGGGCAGAGGGCTGCCGTTCCCCAGCAGAGCCTTGGAATGCTACTTGGATCCCTGAAGGGTGCATGTGCTTTTCTTGTCTAGAATCACTTCTTTAAGGGTGATATTGGAGTGACTGCACCATTGCATATGTAGCAGGCACGTTTTCTAACTCATTTGCTGTCTTACTTCGGAGCCTTAAAATGCAGTAGATACATTTTCCAGGTGTCCCGGAAATTTTGCTGAGATCTCAAAGCTGAGGACACAAGGCTTGTCAGCTACACATTGCAGGGATGCCAAAACTGCAGAGCGTGAATGACCCCACCCCCCACCCCCAAAAAACTCTTCCTTCCATGCCCCACTCCAACAGAATGCAAGGGCAGCAGAGACTGATACACAGGAATAAGAATTTTCTAGAAAGAAGTGACACCTTTATGCATTTCCTTTCCACTTAAAACAAGTAGTCAGGGTTCAAGAGAACAATTCGGAGAATAGATCATGTTCCCTGGAGTTTGTAGAGACTACCACCTAACTTTTTAGTGAAAAATAGCCTAACAGCTCTACAAAACAGACTCTTAAAAAAGAGAAAGAAAGAGGCCTCAAGCAAATCCCCAAGGGGTGCATCTAGCAGCCTTATCCATAGTGGCCAGACTTTGGGAGCAAGAGGTCTTTGCGTAGGTAATACGTTAAAAAACAAAAACAAAAAAAAGCTATGGCACATCCAGAAGATGGACCGCTACTCACTAGCGTTCTGGGTTGGGAATTGAGCTCAGCTGTAGAACACTTGCCTAGCAAATGCAAAGCCATGGCTTTGGTCATCCGCGCGCGAGAGAGGGGGTGGAGAAGAGGAGGAAGGAGAGGAGAGGAGAGGAGAGGAGGGGGAGGGGGAGGGGGAGAGAAGAGAAGAGAAGAATAAATGACCTCTCCAACCCATGCAAAGACCTGGAAAGAACACTGAACGAATACCTATTTGCAAGTAACAGATGTGAATCTGAAAAGGCTGTGGTTGCCAATCATGTGACATTCTGAAAAAGGCAATCTTGGGAGACAGCAGAAAGATCCGTTGTGAATGAAGATTTCTGAGGAGTAAGGGATGAGAAAGTAGAGAGGATTGGGAGCCAAGGAGAACTATTCAGTATCTATAACGGTGGGTGGGTGACATCACACACGTTTGCAGAGGACACACAACATCAGAGTGAGGCCACGCATAAACTCTGGGGGATAATGATGTCTCAGTGCAGGCTCATCCTTCACAGCAACCTTCCGCTGAAAGGTGAGAGCCCTGATAGTGGGGGAAGCATGTGGGGGAACAGATAGAATGTGAGACCTCTCTGTACCACTTAGTCAGTCTACTGGGAGCCTTAAACTGCTCTGAAAAAATGTCTGCTTTTAAAAACGAGGGTGATGTAAACTCTCTGAGACTGACGTAAGCTGTCTAGGGTGGAATGAGAAGAGGGACCCTGTTGTGTGGCGCCATCCTCTGGCCCAACTGCAGCCACCTTCGGGAGTCCAGCTAGTCCCAAGCGCCAAGGACCGTCACGGCTGGGCTTGCTCACTGTTGATGTTCCTCTCGGAAGGAGGGGCAGGCAGGGCCATAAGCCCCTCACCTGTCATCCAGCTGCCCTTCCCACCCAGCTGTGTGCAGTCCTGCTCTAACTGCACTTGACTCCAGAGTCCCTGAAAGAGGCTAGAGAAGCGTTCTCAATCTGTGGATGGTTGTCGATCGCCTTGGGTGGGTCACTTAGTCTAGGGGTTGTAACCCACCCTGCAATCAGTTACTCCAGGGTCACGGAGGGGTGCTATCTGGGAGATAAATGGGCTAGGAAAGAAGGAGGAGGCCATGCTAAGTTTGTCAAAGCCTCCGTTTATTAGGGTCAGGGTTGCTTCTTATATAGCCCCTGGATGAGGGCTTGGGGGGCAGGGCACGGGATCTCGCCATGTGGTCCAGGTCACGTAGGCCACGAGGTTAGGTGATGATTCTTTGGCCAGGAATTTGTGAGTTGACACACCTAGTTCCCTGGATAGCTGGAATGTGAGGCGGGTTCCGGTAACAGATAACTGCTAATTGGGTGTGAGGCAGGTTCTGTCAATAGAACGATTCTTAACATAATTATGGGTGTGGGGTTCTCTGCAGACTCCCCAGGGTGATGGTTCCTGTAATGATTTTAGGAGGAAATGGCTCCTGACAGATGGTGACCCCTTCAGGGGTTGTGTACCAGAAATCCTGCACATCAGATATTTTCATTACAATTCATAACAGTAACAAAATTACCCTTACAAAGTAGCGATGAAATAATTCTATGGCTGGGGGTCACTACAACATGAGGAACTGTATTAAAGGGTCATGATATTAGGAAGGTTGAGGACCACTGGGCTAGAAGATGAGACGGGAAAGGATGAGGGAAAAGGATTCCATCTACAGAGCCCTGGGAAAGCATGACGTCATCCCTGCTGGGAGCAGAACGTCCAGTGTGGCTGCCTTAAGGTCATCCATGCTCCAGCCGGGAGCCTGTCGCTCATTCCTCTGTGAGCTTATTGCTTTCTCTGAGTGGCTTTGGTAGAATCGTACCTGTCTTTGCTGCTGGGACCTGAGGAGGAAGTAGATATTATTTCATGTCTCCCCACAAGGGAAGGAATTTTGGCAGCACACCCTGCACTGTTAAAGACTCTCAGAATAAAATCCCAAGTGTTCTGGTTGGAAAACTGCAAACCTGGAAGTGAACCAGGCTTGGCTTACTTGGAAGATACCTGTCCAGGAAGACTGCAGAGTGAGCATTTGGCAACAGAGGAGCCCGGGAGAGGTTAGCTTCGGAGGAGGGACAAGTAATGGTGCATAGGGGTCGGGTGGAGGGGCATGGAGAGGCCAGGAAATGGCACCGTGGGGGAGGGGGAGGATGCTCAGCTTGCTTGCTCCTTCTAAATCAGTCCAGGACTTAACCCCAGGGAATGGTGCAGGCCACATTCAGAATGGTTTCCTACCTCAGTTAACCTCGTCCATACAATCCCTCCCAGACCAGTCAGGAGGTTTCCCTGCAGCGACTCTAGACCCTGTCAAGTTTACAGTCAGGATGAGCCAACATACTGCAGCCTGGACTGTGTTCATGGTGTTAGGGCAGAAGAAAGGCATTTGCTTCGATTAAGACAGGTATCACGTGTTCATCAGAGACCAAGAGGTTAGTTAAAAGGAATACACCCTGCTATTGGCTAACCATGACCCCTTCTGTGCCTTCTGTTTCTGCAGGCTTGGCCTTCGCAATGCTGGCAGCGGTACCTCCGGTGTTTGGCCTGTACTCTTCATTTTATCCTGTTATCATGTACTGTTTCTTCGGGACCTCCAGACACATATCTATAGGTAAAGACTTAGGCTTTGCAATATGCTTGTTATTATTGCTTAATTCAACTTTTGTGACTGCGTACCCATTAATTGCTTTAACAATGCGACTACACTCTTCTGAGGCAGTATGCCAGCAGGTTAAGCCCTCGCCTAGCCTGTGTGCAGCCCCGGACTTGTTCCCCAGCCGTGTGTGTGTTTCTGTGTTTCTTCTGTGTTTCTTCTGTGTTCCTTCTGTGTTTCTTCTTCTTCTTCTTCTTCTTCTTCTTCTTCTTCTTCTTCTTCTTCTTCTTCTTCTTCTCCTTCTCCTCCTCCTCCTCATCCTTCTTCTTCCCCCTCCTCCTTCTTTTTCTTCTTCTTCCTCCTCCTCCTCCTCCTCTTTCTTCTTCTTTCTCTTTTTCCTCTTCTTATTCCTCCTTCCACTTCTCCAAGATTTCTAAAATTAATAGCTTTCTTATAATCTTAGGTTAAATAAATGGTAACAATTATCTCAATCCCAAATGCATAATAAAGCTTAAGGCATGACTCTATCCAAACTCCTCTGCAAAGTATATGTGGCCTCTACCATGAAGGGGGGTTCTATAGCTAAGGGCCCAGGATATGGTGTGTTCTTGGTCATATAGATAACACCAGGCCTCATAGTACACATAACATTGTTGTGAGGAACTGCGGGCCCCTTCCCTGCCACCCCAGCTCCCGGCCGCCAGCTAGCTCTAGCTTATGCCCCGAAATAATTACACAGAAACTGTATTCTTTTAAACACTGCCTGGCCTATTAGTTCCAGCCTCTTATTGGCTAGCTCTTACATATAGATCTAACCCATTTCTAATATCCCTGTAACACCACGAGGTGTCTTACCAGGGAAGATCTTAACCTGCGTCTGTGTCTGGTAGGAGAATCATGGCAACTCACTGATTCAGCTTCTTTCTCTCAGCATCCTGTTCTGTTTACTCTACCCACCTAAGGGTTGGCCTATCAAGGGGCCTAGGCAGTTTCTTTATTAATAAGAAATCACTCCCACATCATAACATCTCCCCTAACTATTGAATGAGAAACGATTCTCAAGATAAAGGTCTCAAGGGGAAGAATGATTCAGGTGTGGCCTGTCCCTACAGATAGCACAAGGCACCAGAAGGTTCTGGGTGGAAAACAGGTGCAGGTGCACAGCCCTTCTGTTGAAGAGGCAAGTCTGTGTGTGTCACAACCCTGGTTTCCCTGGTGCTTCTCTGTGAGCACGAGGACATCAGAAGTCACTCAGGGTCCCTGCTTTCCGCTAAAATGATCCGGGCCGTTCTTTCGGCTAAAACTATGTTATAAGCCTCTGAACAGGGAGGGGGTCATTCCTGATCATGACATCGGGGCTACTGGATTAGCTTCCTGAGCTTCTGAACAGCTCATTCATGCTCCTGTTTCAGGCCCCTTTGCTGTTATTAGTCTGATGATTGGCGGTGTGGCCGTTCGGTTAGTACCAGACGATATGGTCATCCCGGGAGGAGTAAACGCCACCAATGGTACGGAAGCCAGAGATGCGTTAAGAGTGAAAGTCGCCATGTCCGTGACCTTACTTTCGGGAATCATTCAGGTGAGACTCCAGCTTGGGGAGATGGACTCGGGTTGGTTCTCTGAGCTGGTCTCACTACATGTGGGCAGAGGCAGACAAGGTGCTGGCAACAGCTGCCCACTGAGAATGACTAGCGGGTTTACCTTGAGTGTTCCAGATATCCCAAAAGCAAAACAAGTTTGATGGAGTGGGTGGTGGTCAGGGAAGAGCCACCCCTCATGAACTTGGAGGGGTTGGCAGGCGTGTGACCTGCATGAGTGAGCCCCCCATAAGCAGCGTGTAAGCCCCGCCGAAGGACTCGAGCTATCACAGATTAATGTTATTTTCTCTATAGCCAGTGTTCCATTAGCTACCACAGGTACGAGTGGCCTAGAAAGTGTTATGCCTGGGCTGGAGAGATGGCTCAGAGGGTAAGAACACTGGTTATTCTTCCAGAGGTCCTGAGTTCAATTCCCAGCAACCACATGGTGGCTCACAACCATCTGTAAAAAAATCTGGTGCCCTCTTCTGGCCTGCAGGCACACATGTAAAATAAATAAATAACTTTTTTTTAAAAAAGGAGAAAAAAAAAGTGTTATGCCTAAATTTCTGGTCCCCAAATAAATTCAAGGAGCCAGATTTCCGATGCAAATTAAATGAGAATATTTTAATATTCAAACTCAAGTTTGGACCAGCATCTTTCCAGCACCCCAGCATGGTGGGTGCACAAAGTGTGGCAGGGAGACCTGGGAGGGTGGAGCTTTTAAAAGGGAAAAGCGGTAATCAGGGGAGTTCACGTCCTGTCGCCTCGGGATTGGGTAAGAACGGCATAGGGTAAGGTAGTTTCTGAAACCGGTGGTCTGTTTTGGGGCGTGAAAACCTAACAGAATCATAAATAACTGACAAGGTATCTTCAAGGACAGGATGCCTCCCGGGAACGTCTGGACCTCTACATTTTATGGCCCTGCTCCCTAGCGCATTAATTGGCTATTTTCAGGGTGTCCTTTCAAGTTCCTGATATCGCCGCACATTTCCGAAGCTTAGATCTGCCCCCGCCCCCAGCTCATTAGATGGCCAAAGCCTCTTCTTTAAAAAGGAGTTAGCAAAGTCAGGTCCTCACAAGAGAGGCTCACACGTTGTCCGTCGATTGTCTTTTTCCTAACCCATTTTTGCCGTTTGTTTCTTTGTCATTTTAAAAACCGTAGTTTTGCCTAGGTGTCTGCAGGTTTGGGTTTGTGGCCATTTACCTCACGGAGCCTCTGGTGCGGGGGTTCACCACCGCGGCCGCGGTGCACGTGTTCACCTCCATGCTGAAATACCTGTTCGGGGTGAAAACGAAGCGGTACAGCGGGATCTTTTCGGTGGTGTATGTAAGTAGGCGATGCCCGACTCCCTCTGCTGGCTCTCCACCCCCAGCCCGGACTCCTCCCGTCTGCCTCCGTTTATCTTTACCTTCAACGCTCTGGGGGAAGGACGCGGTAGCTGCTTAAACCCTGAAACCCACGTTGTGGGTACGTAGTTCTCCCCGCCTCAGGAGTTTGTTAGTGCGCTGCTGGGAGCTGCACCCATCACTCTCATTCGCTGAGCAGTCAGCCCGGAAGACCACACGAGGGGAGTTTTAAATTCAGAATAGGAAGCTGGGTGGGGTGGCTCACGCCTTTAATCCTAGTCCTTCCGGGGCAGAAACAGGCTGAGCTCTGTGAGTTTGAGGCCAGCCTGGTCTACAGACTGAGTTAAGGTCAGCCTGGGACGCGTAGTGAGTTCTAGGTCATCCAAGGCTACATAGTGAGATCCTATCTCAAAAAAACAAGCAAAGAAAAGACATAATAGGAAAACATCTCTCATAAAGGCTGCTTATTCAAGCTGGCAAAAAAAATAAATAAATAAAGAGCTATAAATGGCTTAACTAACATAAGTAATCAGTTTAATATAATAAAACATGTATATGCTATGCACAATAAAGAAAGTAAAAATTGGTTACAAGTGCACAGTAAAAATAACTGATCACAGATCAAAGCTGATTATATGAAGTTGATAACAAATCCTAAAGATCCAGCATTTTTTTTTTACACCATTACAATATAGCTAGAAACCATTAACAGTATAGCTTCGCAAATACTGAATGGGCACGGGAGAGATGTCTCAGCTGTTAAGAGCGCTGGCTACTGCTGCGGGGTTGCCAGAGTTAACTCCTAGAACGCACATCAGGCAGCTTTGTACTCACCTGTGTCTCCAGCTGCAGGAGATCCAGCACCCCCTTCTGGCTTCACTGGTCACACACGCCAGCACACATACACACACACACACACACACACACACACACACAAAATACTTAAAAACAAAATAACTACTACAAAACTTACATGTTTAGAATCCATCAACAAAATCGAAACAAAGTAATTATAGCCAATTAACAGTGAAATACCACAAAGAACACTTTCGGCTCCTTGGCTGTAGCTTTTGCAGGTGTTTATATGCCAAGCCTTTACTAGACTGAAATGAGTGACAAGCTAGCCAGGTACAGCATGACCTTGAGGCTGACACTCCCGTGGGAAGACAGTCACTGTGAACCAGGTGAACCGTGACTGGGCAAACGTGCCTTACAAAATACGTTAAGCACCCTAAGAAGGGGAACAAGGTCTCTAAAGCTGAGTACAGACGCCTTTAGATTAGGGTTCTGGGAAGGCCATTTTGAAGAGGTGGCATTTAAATTTGAATCCTCATTTGATAATACTGGACTCAGACTGTAAGGCGATCCCACAAATTATTAATCTCTGTGATGGCTGGAAATAGACCTCCTACTCCTAGACTTCTCAGAATGATTTGTCACAGAGAAAATGCAGTCTGCACCTGCGTGGGTCCTCGGCTGTGCAGCCCAGGTGTGGCGGGCTCTCTGCTTTTTTGGGTTTCAGATGAAATAGTTATATTTGGGTATCCAGATCATAGCCGTAAGATGATTGGCTTTCTTCTCTCCTGGGCGTCTTTCTAAGCATCACTCTCCTGACCCCAAATCTTACCTGACTCTGTTGTCTTCTCATGACAATTGCTAAAGATTTCTACAACTTAGCTGTGTGTTGACTTTGGCAGTATTCTGTGGGGTTAATCCTGATTCATCTAACATTCACAACTCAGCACCGGGGAATTTCTCTGAATTTTCTATGAGCTACTTTCCGATATCAGCACATCAAAAGCACCATAAGCCTTGTGTAGGCCTGTCCTAACACTCCAGAGGAACTCGAGTTCAAGGTCAGCCTGGACTCCACAGTGAGATCCTGTCTCAAGCAAAACAAAACAACAACAAACCCCATAATGTTGTTGGATAAGAATTATGAGTATCGGGGGCTGGAGAGATGGCTCAGTGGTTAAGAACATTGCCTGCTCTTCCAGAGGTCCTGAGTTCAATTCCGGGCAACCACATGGTGGCTCACAACCGTCTGTAATGAGGTCTGGTGCCCTCTTCTGGCCTACAGACGTACACACAGACAGAATATTGTATGCATAATAAATAAATAAATATTTAAAAAAAAGAATTATGAGTATAAAGTTGTATGGTTACATTAAAGAAAATAAAATTCCTAATCTGTAGAAGATACAAAGAGTTGGATCCAGGGCTGGGAGCATATCAATTGCACCACTGAATATCAAATATCACATATCAAATATCTCCACCACTGAATTGTACACTAGCTGCCCCCACCCACCGCTGTCTGAAGTATAGCCTAAGCTGAATTTTTTTATGGACTTTTTTTTTTTTTTACTGTGGTAAAATACACTAGACAGGAGGCCTGGCTGAAGAGGAAGCTCAGCAGTGAAAGTACTTGCTGCCCTTACAGAAGGCACCTGTGGTGGCCACAATCGCCTGGAACTCCAGTTCCAGGGCACCTGACACCATCTCCTGACCTTCATGGACTCCTATGTGCATGATGTCAAACACATACACTCAGGCACACATGTAGACTTGCCAAAAATAGACAGATGTTTTTAAAACGCATAGCAGCACGTATCTCACGGTCCACACTCTTCCTAACTCTACAGTTCAGTGCAGTGAAGTGCACTCATTTTGCCAGGCAACTGGGGTCGCCTCCATTTCTAGAACCTCTCCAGCAGCCCAGACGGAAGGAAGCTTCCCTCTCATGAAGTTCTCTGGGCTCAGCATCTCCGTTCAGCTCTGCTAACCGCTATCACTCTTGTCTCTGTGAACTACACGTCTGGTGCCTCATGTGTGTTCATTTACCCAGGACCAGAGCTTTATGTAAACATCTGGCATTCACTGTGTTACAGAGTACCGTTGCTGTGTTGCAGAACGTTAAAAACCTCAACGTGTGTTCCCTAGGCGTCGGCCTGATGGTTTTTGGTTTGCTGTTGGGTGGCAAGGAGTTTAATGAGAGATTTAAAGAGAAATTGCCAGCACCCATTCCGCTAGAGTTTTTTGCTGTAAGTACATGCAAGGCGGCAGGCTGTTCAGCCCCTGCAATCGCATGCTTCTGTTCCTACAAGGGATTCTGAAGTGCAGGTGATAGAAGAACAGGGATCTGGAGGGTCCTCCCCCGATTCTGCAGAACAACTAACAAAATAGCAAAAATAAAAATGCATTAAAACATACACACAGGGGCTGGAGAGATGGCTCAGAGGTTAAGAGCACTGACTGCTCTTCCAGAGGTCCTGAGTTCAATTCCCAGCAACCACATGGTGGCTTGCAGCCATTTATAATGAGACCTGGTGCCCCCTTCTGGCTTACAGGCACACGTGGAAGGAATGCTATTCACATAATATAATAAATAAATAAATATTTAAAAAAAAAACATACACACAGGTGACTACGTGAAGACACAATACAAGTTTTAACGTTAGTTATCTCTGAGAGATGGGATTTGGAGGGATTTGCTTTGCTTAAGTTTTTTTCCATTATCTGTTCACTTTTTAAAGAGCAACACATTATGCTGAGTGGTGGTGGTGCACACCTTTAATGCCAGCACTCAAGAGGCAGAGGCAGGTGGATCTCTGTGAGATCAAGGCCAGCCTGGTTTTCAGAGGGAGTTCCAGGACAGCCATGGCTACACAGAGTCCTTATCTAGACAAACAAAAATAAAAATAATAATCACATATTACTTTAATAACCCATAATAACTTCAATAGCTTTATTTACTTTAATAAAATAGCTTCCATCTTCCACTTTGAAAAGATAAAATTTCCCCAGCTTTCTCTGTTTCTGATACTTTCCGTGCTGAGATACGCCACAGTCTCACGTAAGTCAAGTCTGACTATCTCACAACATATTCATGACTGAAAAGTTAGTAGTGTTTTGTCAAAACATGTACATATATTGAGGTAAACAATACTATGTTCTTCAGTGACCACAATTATTTATTCATGGATGTGGACACCACTCCCCCACCCCCAAGAAAACTGAAGCAAATAAACTTCTTACCTATGCATTTCACAGAGAAAAGGAAGAGGAAGAAAAAAAAAGCATTCTTCTGAAAAGTTTGAGGACAGGGGCTTCACAATTCCTTTTAAGCGTGACCTTTATCTTGTATTATAAATTTATTTTGAGTTTTGCCTTCTGTGATACACCTCTTTGTGTTAACAGGAAACCAATGGTTTAGCAATTAGTTACGGTCACATAAAACTGAGCCTCCAGGTACTTAAACCATCTTTGTTTTGTGAGCTGAAGTAGTCTAGGCATTCCTCCAGTGTGAGAGGCATAGCAGGCTGACGTTACTAGTGGTTATGCAGAGGCCGCTGCTGTGGGAACTGCCTGTCCCTAGAGCTGGTCTTTCTTCTCTCCTGGACAGCCCATTCCAGAAGTTCCTGGGAATGAAGCGAGCGGCCATTACACCTTTTGTCTCGTTCCTCTGCTCGGAGCATTGTGCTTTGTACCTCACATAAATCTAGGGTTGGGAGCTCCGCTCTGGGTGACAGACTGTATACTCTGAACCTGGAGAAAACTGTGTGCCACCATGGGAAGCTTCTGGCTATGCTGATACTGCTGTCCTAGAGACCGGGACAGCGGCGGGAGCGGCAGGATTCTAAAGCCAAATGTGGTTCCATGGTGACAGGCTGATATTACCAGCCTCACCACACACATGGTGTGTAGCCTACGCTCCTTCTACCTGCCCCAAACTCAAAGCCAACCCCAGTGATGGCCTCCTTCTGCCGCAGCTAACCAGACACCTCAGCTGGGAGCAGAGCAAAGAAAAGAAACTGATTCAGGCCTCAAGGGCCATAGGGTTCTTTGTGAGGTGAAGCCACTAAGAGGAGTTAGCTGGCAGCTGAAGACCCCCCCTCCTAACCCTGAGAAGTGAGAAGATTCCCTGATCAGCAGATGTGGTGTGTCAGTACTTGACTCTGAGGAGTGCCTGGTTTTGTGTCTATTGTAGGTGGTGATGGGAACTGGCATTTCTGCGGGGTTTAACTTGCAAGAGTCCTACAGTGTGGATGTCGTTGGGACACTTCCTCTAGGGTAAGAAAATAATTTAAGAAGAGTGATTGAATATTCAAGGGATCTACTATCTCTAACTCAGCATGAAAATATTCATCTTTTCTGCATATCAAATAGCTGGATGTCTTAAAGGCTTGAAGGTGTGTGTGTACATGTAGCAGCTGAATGTGAATCGCAGAATTTAGGAGACAGATATCTGTGAGTTCAAGGCCTTCCTGGTCTACGTAGCAGGTTCCAGGAAGCCAGAACTATATAGTGAGACCCTGTCTGGTGGGGAGGGAGGCAGAGTAGGAAAAAAAATAATTAAAGATTTTACTTTTAACCATTTTTAAAGATTTTATCTTTATGTACATGTACGTGCGTGTGTACACGTTCAGGAGGCCAGAAGAGGTCCTGGAGCTGATGTTACAGGAGACTGGGAGCCACTTGACCTGGGTTCTAGAAACCAGACTCTTAGCTCTGCAGCAGCATCGAGACTCTCAACCACCGAGCCATCTCTGCCCCGTTAACCTCTTTTAAACACGCAGTCCAGTAGTGTTGAGTATATTTACACTGTAAATGGGTCTCTGGGACCCTTTCACCTCACAAACCACCTAGTTCAGTCCTCACCGAAAGACCACACCTTCTTTCCCCGGCTTTTAGGCCCTGGTAACTCAATGCCTTTTTGCCGATGGATCATACAGTATTTGCCTTTCTGTGATTAGCACCTGACGCAGTGTCCTCAAGGTTTATTCAGAGGGGAGCACCGGACAGCACATCTTCTTCATCAAAGACGTGGACTGTGCCTCTCCATTCACCCGTCAATGGAGTTCATTTGTATTCACCATTTAGCTCTCGTGAATAGCTCTACTGTGGGCATAGAGAGGCAGATCAGTCTAGACACTGCTTCCAGTTCTATTGGGCTTACAGAATGCAGCAGTTAATCTCGGTTGCCAACAGAATGGGATTCATCCAAACGATGGGCCTTTAGGTATGGGGATTGTCTTGATTAGATTAACTGAGGTAGGAGGACCTGCCCACTGTTGGTGGCGCCATTCCCTGGGCTAAGAGCCTAAGAAAGTGGCCATGCACAAGTATTCAGAGAAGCATTTACACCAACTGAAAGAGAAAACTTACCACTTACCGGTTTGGGATGCTGTACCCAGCAATCGGTGAGCCAGAAAGGGAGCCTGTGGCAGGTCCCAGTGTGACTTAGACCCCTGAAGTGGGAAATGTGTAGGCATCAGTCATCCACACCAGGATTTATGTGACAGGAGCACCTCGGTGAGATGGGGCCAAGGTAAAGACCACATCACACAGCAGGTCTCATGCAAGAGATTTATTGGGGGAGAACAAAAGACTATCTCTGCATAGGGATGAGGGAGAGAGAGAGAGAGAGAGAGAGAGAGAGAGAGAGAGAGAGAGAGAGCAAGAGCCAGGGAACAGGAGCCAGACTTTGACGGCAGGGGGCCTTTCTAAAGGGGATCCAGCTGGGGCTGAGTGGCTGGCAGCAGGCTGGAGGAGCTCTTGATTTCTGACACTGAGGAGTGGGAATTTTCTTCTCTTTAAACCTTTCGTAAAATCTCTTCTTGAGTGACACAGGATTTTAAAAAGCAAAAAGTCGTGAATTCTAGCCTGAGCCTTTTGTTGTACATCCTTGGGCAGATGGCTTCTCCTCGTAAAGCCCCATGCTCTGCTGTGTGAGTGTGGCGGCCCACAATTGTTCCTGCCATTGCAGGAGATAACCCAGGGAGGCCAGGGTGAGAGCCTGTACGGCAGGCATCCAGGGCAGGCTAGCTATGCATTCCAGGGTTCATCCCAGGGGGCTTTCCCGTCCTAGTTTATATGCTGGTTACGTCTTTGCTTCCTCTATCTTGACCAATTCCACATTTCTAACGTGAATTATTCCATGTGTATTTGAAATAAAAGAGTAACCCACTAGCTCTGCCCAACTCTTCCTGTCCCTGGCCAATCCCCTCTGGCCATCTCTCCCCAGGCACCCCTAACTGTGTCTCTGTCTTTGTCCTGATGCTCTTCTCTCTCTCTCTCTCTCTCTCTCTCTCTCTCTCTCTCTCTCTCTCTCTCTCCCTCTC